GGATCCAAAACTGGAGAGAGTTTTGGATTTTCAAATAGGACAGATTACTGAAGATAATTTGCAATGATTGCTTAGAGATAATAATAAAAATATGATCTTAGGACTTTACTTGTTGAAACTTTTTCAACTGATTAAATACCTCTCAGCTGGGTTTCCCTGCCGTGAACCGCAGAATTCAATTAAAGCGTTTTGCGTTTCACCTCAAGAATTAGGCAAACTAATTGGCCGCAGTTTCTGGGAGCAAAGGGAGCTAAAGGAAAACAGCCTTTTCCAGTCAGACAAAGACCGCGTCTGGAGGCGCTGAAAACTTTTAATAAATCCGCAAATTGCTTTATAAGCAACTCGTTTTCGGGCTGCTTATTTTGTTTGCTCGGGTTGGCTGGGTTCCCGGGGTATCCTGGGCTTCTTGGTTGGATGACAATAAGCGCGATAAGAACTTGGCATAAACAAGCCCAGAGCCGTAAACTACAGAGGGCGAGGCAGGAGTGAAATTAAGGCAGATGGCAGGCTGCAAGGATAAAAAGGAAAATGCGTCCAGTCAGAACGTCCACACGTTGACTGCCGCGTTGGCAGTTTTTATTTAGCTTTTGTAAGTTAATTTGTGCACTATTGTCCTGCAGGACACGCTGAATGAAACGCTTGCCTTTTGCACTTTCCTCCTCCGCTTTTGCTATTTCCCTTCTCTTTATTTTTTTTAATGTAATTCAATTTCAATGAAACTTAATCGTCCGTACATGGCAGTGACCATGCCATGCCACCTCCTGCCCAATCCTGCCCAGCCTTTTAACATTATTTGCGTCATTTTGTGGTGGTTAATTTCAGTGCAACGCTTTTACTATTCAATTATGTTGCCGCTTGTCGCCTCGTTCGCAGCATTTTTTATGCACTCTTGTTTATGATGAGCGAGTCCCCTTGCTCGAACTTCCTGCTCTATTGTCCTGCTAATGCCGGCCTGTCCTGTTTGTCATCCTGTGTGTCCTGTGTTGCTGTTGTGCTTTTTCATTGTTATGAAAAATTAAATGGGCATAAATCATGCTAATGGCGCATTCAAAATTTATTACGCTTTAAAGCCCGATCCACCATCAACTTATTTATGTATTTGCAATTATTCCATCTCTGGGGGTGGAAGCCGATTTCGTTCCAAAGTCTACTATTGAATGGTTTTTGTAGTGCGTTCGGTGTGAGAGTTAGTACGGTTGATCTCATCTCGATTTCAATTAGATGATTGCCGGGATGTGAGGATATTTTTATGGGGGGAAACCATGTTGGAAAAACGATGATGTCAGCGGAACTTGCGAATGGGGGAGAATTGTTTTAAATCGAAATTTACGAGCACGTTGAGATCAAAGCAGAAGCATTTCAATGGATTAGAAAAAGAGGTTTGAATTGAAATTGAGAAAAATAATATAGGCAACTTGTATAAGCATATTTTTTACAAAAAGTTAACTTATCTTTATCATATTTTTTTGGAGGTTGAAAAATGCCAACATTAACCGAGCTGCTTCCGAATATATAATATATATTTTGCCCCACTTAACCGCCATAACTAACTCGGCAATCTAAAATTTCATTCGCCACGCAGCTGGTAACAATGTGCGGCGCTTAATCCGCAGCGAAAAAAGGCGGTGGAAATTTCGGGGGGATCAGGGCTCTCTCTAAAGGCGAGCCACCCACATAATGCAAATTGCTCTTATAATTTGCACAGCAGCGGCGTCATTCATCAGCCTTAGCGGGTGTGGGAAAACTCCGAGCGGACTGGGGGGGAAGTGGAGGAGTTAGACAAATTTCCCAGGGATTATCTGCTAGGATGCTCTGACTGCACTTTGTTGGTGCTACTGCCACTGCCGCTGTTGCAACATTCCCTCGCAGCCCAACACGCGTTGGCTCTTCATTCCATTTATTATAACAACGTTTTTTGTATTCCATTTCTCCTGCGTTGTGGGGGTTATTTTCATTGCCAAAAATATATATTTCAAGTGGGTTCAACTGCGGAGCGGATTTTATTTGGTTTTAGGATTTTTCGCCCCAGCAATGCACACGAGTTTGTTGCAAACTGTTTCGGACACACAGTCACATCGCAAAGCAGACACATTGGCACTGCGGATATATAGATACATTTGGGCCGTTGCAGTTTGCAGTCCGTAGATACAGATACAGAACCAGCTTTCCTCGACCTCCCGCAGAGAAGGTTTCATTTGGTTTTTGGCCCAGTGAGTATCCCATCAGGGAAAGTTTTCTTTTTTTCTCTGATTTAAGGGTAGTATGAGTTCATATAAATTCCATATTTCAAAAAAGTTTATTTTACAAAATGTATTAAAAATATGAAGTTATATAGTAAAGAACTTTTCATTTATTAACCTATTGTTGAGCTTAAAAATGTCTTAATTTTATTCAATCATTAATGATGTGACTAAAGTAAATTCCATAAAGTTAAATAGATAATAATAACTTGACATTTACATTAATATACGACAGCTTTTAATTATTAATTTATTATCTAAATTATTTATACACTATTTGGTATTATTTATTAAACCCACTTTGAAATCTTGTCATCTCTTTAATACAAATAAATAAATAAGCTTTTGTTACATTTAAACCCACCAAGTTTTTATTTGAAACGAATCCATCGAGGTCATCGTTAATTCGAGTATATTCACCGTAACCGCCATCATTCTTAGTCGATTTTTCCTTGCATTTTGGGGTTTTTCCTTTGTTTTTCCTGTCTGTCTCTATCTCTATCTCTATCTCATGGTGGCCGTAGTCCCTCTTGTACATGCTTTCATAGGTCCACCTAGTGTGTTGTTTACATGTTCATTCGCAGGATTTTTTACTTGAAATTGGAAAGTCGACGTCGGCACAAAGAAGAGTTAAGTCCTGGCAGGAGAGAGGAGGGAATGGGATTCCTGAGGGGGGAATCGCTTATTGTCCGGACCCACACATTGTTGTATTAACTGAAGGATTCTCTTTTCCGCTCCTGTATTCACTCTTCCCCTTTGCGGTTGTCATTGCATTAAGCTGGTTAGGGCTTTAATTTAGAGGCATCCTCGGCGAAAATCGCATCAACGCAGCTGGAGATCGTTAAATAATTCATGTCAGGCCGCTCGGAAATCGGAAAATGGAGGGAAAAAATGGGAAGAAACGAACCAAAGCAATGAAAGCCAAATTAAGCAGTGGAAAACGTTTAGCGAGCAGAGGATGTGGATGGGGATAATGCGGGGGAGTTGGAGTTGCTGGATAACCAGAAGCCAGACTCTGGGGGATATTCTCAGCTGGGCGCCTGATTTACGTTGCAATAATTTTCATCTCATTTTCATTACGTTTTCGGGCTTATCCTGGCAGCCTTTCCGGGCTTGCTGTTCTCCAGGATTCCCTCCGTCTTGTGCCTTTTGCATAAGGCCAAAAGGTGAGAAGCTCGTTTGGCCTGCAGGTCGCTTTGTGCCTGGGTGGCCACTTGAGCCCGGCTATTTATCATTCCCCAAGAGCTTATACATAAGTTTCAGTCTGCCCATAGGCCTCTGCATTTCGTAGTCCTAGGTTACCAGGTGAATCCCCCTCCTCTTCTGCCTTTCACCCAACAGCTGCGGAGTTTCCATGGAGTTTTGCTTCCTTTTTTTTTGCAAGTGCCATCAAAAGTTGTGAACAAGTTGCCGGTTTGAAACAACAACAACAGGAACAGAAACAGGAATAAAAAGGATCAACAAGGCACTCAGCACCAGCAGCCAGGACTGGTTGGAACGAGTGTGACACTTCACAGTGCTGACAGATTTACATCAATTATTGAACAGGTGCAGGAAACATGTTGCTCGAAGGTAGAGAGCAGTATAGATTGAAATGTATTGGGAAAACTTCTATCGCATTTTAACATTTAGTTAATAACTACTGAATTATAATGTGCAGTACTATTAACATAAAGTGGGAGAATTATTTATTAAAGCAAGGTGAGTTGTCTCACTTGCGATTCGATTCTACGGTTTCAATATGATGATATCAAAATTTATTCAATTAATCCAACGGAATACGTTCTAGTTGTGAAACTGATACCCTAATTCCACACATAATAAGAAAACATTCTTTATATATGTTTCTAAGAAATTATCCCTAAATAATTCTTGTAATAACTAATTATTTAATTTTAATTTTTTGTTTGCCATATTTTCTTGTAAATATATAAAGTGTACATAGCAAACCACACCAAGACTCATGTATGTAATTTTTGGCTTGCATGCTGTTTGTTTTTTGAATTTTACGAAATCCTTTGGATCCGATTCATTAAGTTCTGGGGAAGAAGGGAAACCAAAACCATTTATCCCTGGCAAAAGGATTTGCAATTCAAGGAGCAGATCCAAATCCCTTTGCTGGCAACTCAATTAGTTGCACGCATCCATTAGGTATTCCAGGCACAAAACAAAAGAGTGGAGCGATTGCAAAGCCATCAAATAGCTGAAGGCCGTTTTCGAAGAGGACCCCAAAAGGGGGAAATTGGGAAAGGGATCAAGAAAGGAAGGAGATTATTTTTGGCCGCACAGGAGGTCAGACCACAAACAAAGATGTCACGCAGTGCGTTGCCCAAGGGGATTTGGCCATTGGTACACCCAAAAATATTATATATGACATTTGGTTATGAATACTAATGTGAACTGGACCGGGGCTGGGTCCTCTCGGAGGAAGCCGCTTACCATCGGATGGGGTTACTTAAAAGTTCATGCCAAAAACTGCTTTGCATACTCCACAAATACATACAAATATTTACTAAATATTGGGGTGTGGAACAAAGCTACTCTGCTTTTCCTTCGTTTGATAGGATTTAGTAAGTAATGTTTTCTGTTGTCCATATTATTAGTAACAGTCGAAGATCTATTCGAGATTTCCGCTTCCTCTTCGCCAACAAAATAATCAAATCAATTGGCAGACTGGAAAAGCGCAGACACTTGGCCCAACCGACTGCTACTAATTCGTCGCCATCAGATATGCAAACAATCGACGAGCTACACAAAAACTTGAGAGTTGTAAAGTTTATAAACCGGACTATGAACTTGGGGGATAATATGACAGTTTTGGGAAAACTCCAGATCTCCTTAGTTGGGCTTCCTGCAGGCCATGCGCAGGACCTCGGGAAGGGGACCTCCCGAAAGACTCTTCACGTGGCCCGGCTGGATGTTGCTCAGCATACTGAACAGACGTTGGTGCTGATAGTTTGTTGGTGAGCCACCGGAATAGATCTTATCGTCAACGTAGACCACATCTATTCCCTCCTCCAAGATCCGGACATGGTAGTGATGGTTGTGCGGAAAGAAGTTCAAGTCGCTGCCCAGCTCCTTTGTGATCAATGTGTTTGAGCCACTTGCCGTCAGCTTGACCAAAAAAACGACTATCTCCATTTCACTGAAGAGACTCTGACCAGCGGGCAAAGCTGTCAGCTCCACCACGACGTTCTCACAGCAAATGAACTCCGGCTCGTATGGTTGAAGAGCGTGGAAGGTCAGCAGAGTACAATCCGGCTGGAAAATTAACAAATTAATATCCGAACTTTCCCCACAAGATTTCTACTCACATTATATCGCTTTCTGTAATTCTGCAGCAGCTCTTCAGTGCTGTAAATTGTGCCGTGCCATTTTGGCGGTATGTAAACCTCGTGGTCGGCCGATGTCAGTAACATGGTCTCATGCTAAGTGAATTACATTTCATTAAAGTATATGAAATTCCTATACATGTTTTGGTTTCTTACCAGATCATATGAATACTCATTAAGGTTGTCGGGAGTCACCTCCTTTGGGTTTCCAAAAGCATCCAGAAACATGGTAAGATTTTTTGCCGTTTTCCGCTCCAAATTTAACTTCACTTAAAATTTTGCACGTGGTGTGGCACTACTTTTAAAGCTTCGCGTACTGCATTCTAAAATTTAGTATTAAAGTTAATACTTTCGATAACTCTTAAAGTCATTATGGAAATACATGTAATCAAATTACAGTCGATAAGTTAAAACAGAATCCCAACATTCACTTATTTTTGTTTCAATTATATAAAACATTTCCAAAGGTGCGAGTTTAATTGGTTTATATTATCATAGTTAAATATATATATATAATGTGATTTAAAAAATCAAAAGTCATAATGCCTCTCATCAAGACCATTAATAATAATGAAAATGCTTAAAGGGAAACTTTTTTCCTTGTTCGACTACGAAAAAAATAACAAAATAGTTAAGGTTTGTTAAATATACGGTAATTTCTAAATAAGTGCTAAATTTCTGTAGAAGAGACCCTAAACTTTTCATTTCAACAAAAAATTCAGTACTTTTCTCTGTAAAAAGGTAAATGAAGATAGTTCATTTCATTCTCAGGTAAATATTAGGTAGCCAAAACACAAAAGTAAGTCCCTATTGGATGGAGAGCCCTTCATTTACTTATTCACAGATTAGTTGAAATTTGTTGTTTTATTCAAGTGGAAACTAAGCATTTTATGTGCATGGTTCATTATTTGAAAATTCAAGGTAGTGGACATATTAAGAAATCCAATTAAAATCGAATAAGCAAGCAATTTATTATTTAATAAACATGAATTGAATAAAGTGGTTTTGTAAAATACATTATAATTACTCAACTATTTTCTTAGTTACACAAAAAATAAAACGAAAGTTACAAAACGGAAGTATTATTTTTCTTGAAAATACCAACGCCAAAAAATTTTAATACTAAATTTCAGAACACAATGCAGAAGCTTTAAAAGGAATGCCACACCAAAACAGGCACAATTTTAGTTTAAATGTAAATTTAAGCGGTAGACTAGAAAAAAATCGTACCATGTTTCTGGATGCTTTTGGAAACCCAAAGGAGGTGACTCCCGACAACCTTAATGAGTATTCATATGATCTGGTAAGAAACCAAAACATGTATAGGAATTTCATATACTTTAATGAAATGTAATTCACTTAGCATGAGACCATGTTACTGACATCGGCCGACCACGAGGTTTACATACCGCCAAAATGGCACGGCACAATTTACAGCACTGAAGAGCTGCTGCAGAATTACAGAAAGCGATATAATGTGAGTAGAAATCTTGTGGGGAAAGTTCGGATATTAATTTGTTAATTTTCCAGCCGGATTGTACTCTGCTGACCTTCCACGCTCTTCAACCATACGAGCCGGAGTTCATTTGCTGTGAGAACGTCGTGGTGGAGCTGACAGCTTTGCCCGCTGGTCAGAGTCTCTTCAGTGAAATGGAGATAGTCGTTTTTTTGGTCAAGCTGACGGCAAGTGGCTCAAACACATTGATCACAAAGGAGCTGGGCAGCGACTTGAACTTCTTTCCGCACAACCATCACTACCATGTCCGGATCTTGGAGGAGGGAATAGATGTGGTCTACGTTGACGATAAGATCTATTCTGGTGGCTCACCAACAAACTATCAGCACCAACGTCTGTTCAGTATGCTGAGCAACATCCAGCCGGGCCACGTGAAGAGTCTTTCGGGAGGTCCCCTTCCCGAGGTCCTGCGCATGGCCTGCAGGAAGCCCAACTAAGGAGATCTGGAGTTTTCCCAAAACTGTCATATTATCCCCCAAGTTCATAGTCCGGTTTATAAACTTTACAACTCTCAAGGTTTTGTGTAGCTCACCAATTGTTTGCATATCTGATGGCGACGAATTAGTAGCAGTCGGTTGGGCCAAGTGTCTGCGCTTCTCCAGTCTGCCAATTTATTTGATTATTTTAGGCGGAAGTCTCGAATAGATGGGAAAAGGTTTAACTGTTACTAATAATCTGGGCAACAACAAATCTTGTTACTTCGTCCAAGTAATTTTTTTTAATGACTGTTTTGTTGGATTACATTCATATTAAAGTTCCTTTATTGTTGCACTTGTACTTTAAGGTTGCATTACGGAAGGGCTTTTCCAAGACCAAGAGCTGCATTTAAATCCACTAAGGGACTCCATTCATTTCCTTGGCGATTATCTCGTTTGCTCCGAACCCCATAAATTCGTCTCCGCCCATAACTGGGCTGACAACTTAAGTGCGGTCATGTTTTTGGGGTTCAGCTCTAGCTCTGGCTCCCCACCATTAGGAAAACAATTACAGACGACACTGACAGGCCCAAAATGCAGACCGAAACTGAGATGCCGGCCGGACACATCCTAGTGGCCGAACTAAAGCTGGAGTTGTGGATCAGGAAGAGATACCATTCGGCGTCTGGCCGGGATGTGGCCATAAATTATGAGTTTGTCGTCACATGCTGGCGGTCTTAGCCATGGTCATGTCTATTAAGTAGCCTTTGAAGCCACCGACTGTGTTCCTGTCCGGTTTTTGACACTACCGGGGCTTATTCTCCAATCCCTTGGCCGCACATCTCGGCCTTTATCAAGTGCATTTTTGAGGTAGCGTTTGGTCACCGCTTTGTTAGCCAAAGTTGTTTACTTTACCTATGAGTGTGTGTGTGTGTGGAGGTGCTCCTTTTGGTGGCTCAACCCTCCCTATATCCTGCGAAATTCAAAGACATAAATTATAGCACCGAAAATTCCTTCGGTTCGAGCTTCATTTTCATGCTCACGAACTAGAGAGAGCGTCACATGTGTGTCTAAGTGATTTTCAATAAGTTGCGAGTTCTGTTCGTGTTCCTGGGGTTGGGTCAAAGTTTCTGGGGCACGATTTTTCACAGCTCCAGATGTCTATATATACATCTATATATGTATCTACATATACGTATAGGAAGGAGCATAATTTATGGCGCCTTCGCCTGTGGGTGTGTGTCTGAGCCGTCGGATTTTCGCAGGCGTCGATAATGACGAGCGATTTCTCATAGCCAAAAGTGAGTTTTGGTCGGGGGTCGCTCATTTCGCCAAAGCACCAGCCATTTGGAGCAGCTGCGACCGACCTTTGACATCCCCAGGCCCAAGTCGGCCACGTTCGAGGGCCAACTACATGGCACGTAAAAACAAACTTGATTTTCGGCCATCAAAAAGCGCCATCCGTCTTCACGAGAACGTTTCCTTCGACTGCGAGTGGCTGCCAAAAAGCGCGACGTGATTCAATATTTTTTGCAAAATTATTTTTTAATCATAGTTTCGACAGAAGTCAACCAAATGTTGACCGTAAAAGAAGATACATTTGGCGCATTGGATGTGCAAATAGAAAATGTAAGGTAACTCTATTCTATACTTTTTTTCTTCAAGCTAAGATAATAAGTTTAAGGACCTTCCACTTATTAATTAATGTTCAATGTTATTATGCCCATGTACGTTAGTGTTAATATAAAATATTTGTAGCTATTTTTGTAGTTCTAAATGCATCTATAACTAGTACACTTTTAGACAGGTTCTATATGTAATAATAGTTTATATTTGAAATTCCTTACTTAAAATTTGTAGAATTGGTGAATTTTGTAACGGCGAGATTTTCACTGTTATAAAGAAAAGGTGTTATAATGAAATGTGTTCGTCGTGTAACATATATTAGGACAAATCAAAGTTTAAAAATCTCATAGCTAAGCCAAAGTATTAATTTTAATACAAAAAACGTTTCTATGCTAGCTTTTATTTGGTATTTAACATTGAAAACTTTTTAAATGTTTTTTACAATTTTAGTGGCATAAGTTCTTATAAAATTTTGAACAAATTTTAACATTTTAATTCGTTAAAATCTATAAAAGTTGTAGTTCGATAATTGCAGTCTTTTGAGAAAAAAATATAAATTCAAATAAGGACCTTTTTAAAAACAATATTTTGATCAAAGAGCTTAAATTATTAACGTGTAATCAAAACCATTAAAATTCAGACAATTATAAATCCTTGTAAATATATACATTGTTAACAAAAGATGACAACTACGCATGTATTGGGCACACCAACAAACACATAAAACATAAAAGCGACAAAGAAAGCAACCGAAGAAAGTACTAAAGAAAACTTTTGCAATTTCAAAGGATCTGCAGCTGGCATTGGTCGCCATTCTCGGCTATTAACGCAATCGAATGACGTTCTTGGCTCGGATTCCGATTTCGATTCGCTTTTCTCTTTATGCTAAATGCCCGCAAAATGTTTGAAACGCTCAAATGGTGAAATGGTGAAATGGCAACCAAATCAGCGAGTCCCCATACCATCCTAAAAATTGCAATTGTGACAATGCTGACAATCTGCAGGCGACAGCCAACACCAGAGCCCAGGCGGAAGACGGGAAAACGGGAAAGTTGCAGGATGAGGGAAAACAGACGGCAATGGCAGTTCCGTCTGCATCTCCTATTTTCTTCTCAATACACAGAGAAAATTTGAGATAAAATGAAAGAAAAGGATGTAGGGTATTCAATATAAAAATAGGATGATTTCAAGCTATATCTTGAACAAGGATACCATGAAATTATATTTTCAGAATTGTTTGGTTTAAGGAAGCTCTTGATATTATTTTTGTTCAGTGTTCTGTCCGTCTAGCTTTTGCCTTCATGGCAACGTCAAGAAAACGGCGACACTTACAATCAGTATGAAATTTACGCGATTTTCATTGCGGCAAATGGTTCGCTTTTTTCGGTATTAACATTTCTCGCCAGGCATTTGGGAGGAGGAATAGGAGGAGCTCCTGGTATGAGGTGTCTATGAGAGGGGGATTGCGTGGAGCCCAGCTGAAGTCGTGCCAATTTTCATAATTCCTTTATATTTCTCGATGGCCATATGACACAAAAGAGGGTTTTTGTGAGAAGCTCAGGAACTAAGATAAGAAAAGATGACTTCTGACCCCAATATTAAAATGTTCTAAAAAATGTTTAAAATATTTTACAATTTTAGATAAATTAAATGCAATGCACTAATGGAATTTAATATACTTCAGTAACTTAATTTATTCATGACAAACAGAAATTTAAAAACATAAAATGCTAAATGCTAAAATTTTGTTTATAAAACCCTAAAGACCATTAGTCTGAGCGATCTCCCCATAGAGTGTACCAAGAATTCGTTGCGAATCCTTTAGAGAATTCGCAGCTTGGTGCCACTGCCTGTGCCTTTTCCTTGGCTTTGGCCATAACCAGGATAACAACAAACAGGCTAGCAAACAGCTCGCGGCTGCCACGAGCCAAAAGTGGCATCAGCTGCGGCAGTTGGCGCGGATATATCTTCCCACACCTATACATGTACATACATATATCCCGAACTGACTGACTCTAGCCGAGGATAATGCAATAAGCGTTGCCAACAAGCACCCAAAGTCTTCGTCCTGTAACTTCCGCCTTCCCGCGAACTGCGTTTTGTGGGTGGTCCTTGGCGGGCTGCGAAAGTGGGTTGCCATTGCCAGGGGGTGGCACATGTGTGCCAGACAGGTTATGCGCTATAAAAAATTTAAGAAATTGCTACCAGCGCCAGCGCCAAAAACGACAATACTTACGAGCATTTCACAAATCAAAATACTTTCGAGGGTTCGCCCCTGTCCTTGTGCCTTTTTTCTATCCCTTCCCCCACTATCCTTTGTTGTCTGCCACGAGTTGTTATTGTTATTGTCCTTGATGTTGGCTTCTTGTATGCCGGAGTTTTCCGCGTTTTCCTTTTTATTTTTGCTGCGGGCACAACTGATGCCCAAAGGAGCGATGCGAAAAACAATGTGCTAAATAAATAAATTTGTCCAAGATTGCAACATGAAATGGAGGTGGAAAAGTTTAGGATATGATTGTCTGAGTCGTAAGCTTTTACGATGTGGCAGGTGATCTGGTGAGAGTTATGAATGAAATAACATTTTCGAAGATAAAAATATATGGAATGGATCATACATGACACTTGAGCATGACTAAAAATACTTAATACAGACAGGCAAACTAAACTATTATAATAATTGATATAGACTATTGCAATTTTAATTAATTAAAATAAGACTTCAAACTAACTTAAATTAAGCTTTAAATGGTGTTGAATTTGATGTAGTTTGTGAGAGAGATGTAAAGATTCATTTTATGCTTTGACCACTTTTCTTTCCATGTAATCTTTCTCAGAACCTCATCGGTTTGGCCATTTTCTTGGAGTTCTTAGCCATATCTCAGTTTAATGGCAGCAGTGCCTCCCTTGAACATCCTAATATATGGCACTTTGCGTGTGTAGGAGAACACGAGCAGTTGGTAATATCCTAGGAGAGTGGCATGCAAAAGGGACAAGCAACAAAAGCGAGCACAAATTGCGTCATGTTTTGCAATTCCCACGCATTCGGCGGAGCATCCTCACACTCCTGCCGGCCTGCAACCCCCACCGGGGGGAGAGGGGACCTGGAGTCCCTTTTTATGTCAACTGTTGATTGCAGCAGTCGCAAAAACCCACGAACTAGGGCCAAACCCAAACTGAACTGCAACAATAATCAGAATTAATTCAATTTTGGTGGCTGGCTTTAAAGGTAGCCACTTAATTAAATAGCCACATGCATTCTCTCCCATAAATACATGCATATCCTGTGGCCTGGACACGGCACTGATTTTTATATATCGGGCAAAATTCAGTTTAAATCAAATTACATTCAACAAAATTCGCATAAAGCGAATGAATAACCGCAAAATATCCAAGCACTTAAAATGGCAAAGTGATTGAACTGTGTGCGACCAAATCAGAGATGGAGTCGTGACACGAAGTTGCTATTTAAGATTTATATTTTACTACTATAAATCATAATTTAAAAGGATTTTAATAGTGAATAAATAATTTTGCACAGTCATTGGTATTGTATGGATATTGTTTTCCTATAAATTATGAACTTATAATTAAATTTTGTATTTAATCTTGTTGAATAGCACGCAAACATCTCTGACATTAAATGCACTTGGAACCGCATTCACTAAACAGTGACAGGCACCAATGGGGACCAACCGCAGAAAATATTAAATACTGAAGCCCCGCCGTGGTCTAACTGGAAACTTAATGATATAAAATAAATTGAATTTAAATGAGACAGTCTGAATAACACCTTAATGTGTCGTATTTGACCCCTGGGAAATATTTCCAAAGTGCGACCATGTCCTGTCTCCTGTAAGAGATATATCCAGAAGGCTTCTCTTACGGCCTGTAATAAACAGTCGGCTCAGACTACCGGCTCTCAACTCACCAGCTACCGGCTTATGGTTGCCTTTGATCAAATTATCCCTGGCCCACTCCGCTGGCGACCCTCAAGCCTTGCACCTGTTTTTAAGCTCAGATGTCCGGCAAATGCGTACATATTTTAAATTTAATTACTACACCCTGCATGCAACAAACAGTGGCAGCCACAGCAAATCCAAGCAGAAGCCATCCATCCATCCATCCGAACGGGGCAGGCACAATCCTTTCACGGGGCAATGCGCCATAAATCCCCATTCCCAAATAGTTGGCTGGCCATTCAGAATCTGTGCTAGCCGCATATGCATAAAAAATCTGTGTTTTTCAGAGAGAGGGTTAAATCGAAAGATTTCAAGAATAGTTATTATATTATAAACTATTCTATATAAGTTTCAAAATATAAATTGTTTAAATGTGGTTCTAGCTTCTACTTTTACCTCAATAAAATCTTGGATTCAATGTCCTTGTTAGTTTTCAAATACCCTTCTCAAACTTTAAAATCAACCCTTGCTTGGACATATATCACTTGAATACAGCTTCGTTTCTACCTGCCATTCCACCTGCAGACGATGGTCCTGCGGACATTTTTGCACATTTAACTCAATTTGTGGTTTACATTTAATTAATTTAATTATGTATATATGTGGGGAAATGTAATTTCTCTACTTCTCCGCAGCAAAGAGGATAACCCGCAGAAATCTGGACACTGTCAATGGGATTTCCCGACCAGCTTCGAGCTCGAGATAAAGGTGAAGAGCTGCCGAAATCTCTGAAATACGAAATTGTATCTGGTTACTTTTTAGCAGGCGAACGGCAAAGCGCTCAATAGATGGCGTTGGTTACACACTCGAGATAGGGGGCGCCACAAATACAATCCACAGTGTGGAACAAAGCTCTCCCCATGCTGGAAAATTATTTATTATTTATTTAAGAGCTGCGACTTACAAAGAACTGTAAAACTGATAACTTAAATATATAAAATTACAAATATTGCCTTAAAAGTTATTAATACTTTCTTTTAAATTTCACTTAATACTTATAAAAACTTGTTTTATATGTACTAAGAAATCGTAAATTTTTTAAAGAATTATTGCATTTCTTATTTTGAATTTATAATTTTGATTGTTTAAGGAATTGATGCTCGTTTTTTGTGAATTTCATGAAAATTAATTTAAAGTTTAAGTTAGAGGAATAAATATTTGTTGGCGTATAGAATAAATTTGTCTTATATTTTTAAAATTTTTTTTTGTAATGAGATTTTATTGTATTTCTTAAAATCTATTTAATTACTTTATTACATCAACTCCAGGATTGAACCAAACTTACCTCCTACCAGCACAATGTTTTAATTTATTAACCAATTGTCAGAAATAATTCCTTATTAACACATCAATAACGTATCTCACTTGACCTTTTTATTTGTTTTGTCTGTATTAAAGTATGCCCGTTATTATTTTTTTAAATAAATATTTTTCTAAAAGCAAAAATGAAAAAAGAACTATAAAAAATGAAAAATTTTATTATTAACAAATCGATCGATTTTCCAATACTTCCGGTTCTAAAATATACCCTCTTCAATCGAGACATATTTTTAATTATATATCTCTATACTTAGGACATTGAACTGATTCGCGTTGCGATCTGTTTCGATTGCCAAACAAATCGGTCAGCTTAGCATGCGGAAGCCCTTATCGATGGCATATTATCGCCAAGTGCATGCTAGAAGCTATGTAAATAATATAATTATAATTTCGCTGCACATATTCCACTTTGCTTTTCATTTGTGTCTAGTGATTGTGACGAGAGGAGCGGCGGACTTATAGGGAAAAGTGCCTCGCCACCCAAGCCACCCCCGGAGTGTCGCCACTCCATGCTGAACTTTCATCCAGATCGTCTGCATTTCACTTTTGTTTACATTGGCAACCAGAGTCGGCGCACTGGAAAAAGCTCCAAGTCATAACAATAAAGCTCTCTCGACTCGCATATATAAGCGGCAATGCAGCTGCACTCGTCCAGCAGTTCTAGACCAGAAATACGACAGAATCACGTTCAGTTGAGAATAAAATTCATCATCAGTTCAATTCCAAAAACAATGAATCATCGGTCGAGGTACGCTCCACTTAATAGTTCTTGAGCTCGAAGCAATTATTTACATTCTACTTAATCATCGTTACAGTTCGCATCTGGCGCTGCTTTTCTTACTGGCAGCTAATGGAGTTTATCTGGGAAACGCTCAAGTTCCATTTCCCGGCAAGTGTCCGGATGTCAAAGTAATGGATACCTTCGATGCGGAGGCGGTGAGTATTACCTTATAAATGATCATGCCTTTAAGAATAGTAATCAAAGGTATATTAGCGAATTAAATAATACAGGTTAAGTAGTCATCTTAAAGTAATCAGTTTTGTTAAGTTACCCCTCTATAATTTGGCATTAAGTAACTCTAAATTTAAGTTCTTACTCAGGGGGCGCATCTTAAAATGTATTATTATTATTTTATTGCATATTTTCCACTTTTTAGACTCTTCCCATTTAAGGTATTGCACTGTATCAATTTTGTGATCGTAATCAGTTAATTTAAGCTACGTTCAATGCAGTAAGTTTTAAAAGTAAAGAAAATTAACAAAAACAAAATATGCACGAGTCATGTATTTGATCAAGTTTTTCCAATTAAAATTTTTACCCAAACTTATCTTAATTAAAAAGGGTTCTAATCTTGTTTATATTTACCTATTGTTTATTGAAGCACTCATCCAATAAGTAAACACTTACATCACTTATAACGTAATATTTGCTATAAAACTTATGTTGTTTACTCAACGAACTTATATGATAAGTGAACACTTGAAGCTTTCACTTTAATTTAAGTTTCTTAATAAGTATTATCACTTAACAATATTGTATCAATACAAATACTTTTAATTAATGCATATCCCTATCTTAGTATATGGGTGTCTGGTACGAGTACACCAAATATCCATTTGCATTTGAGATCGGCAAGAAGTGCATATATGCCACCTATGGTATCATAGACAATAGCACCGTATCAGTGGTTAATTCCGCCATCAATCGATTGTAAGTGATATACTATAGTTACTTTTGTTACCAAAAATAATAATTATAATGTAAATAATGTAAAATCAAATTAGCACTGGACTGCCCACGAACATAACTGGAAAAGCAAAGGTGATCGCACCAGCTCAGCTAGCCGTGGCCTTTTACCCCAGTCGTAAGAAGCTACAAATCTTATGGTATATCTTAAATATGTTTCTTATTTATTTTTCTCACACCTTGCAGAGTCATTAACCAAGGCCAACTATCAGGTATTGGGCACCGATTATGAATCGTATGCCGTTGTCTATAGCTGCACCAGTGTAACTCCATTGGCGAATTTCAGTAAGTCATTAAGAAAGACCACTCCCAGCGACTATATCCAAAGTGTGGCAACGAATTCTGACATAATTTAAATAATAACTTAAATTCCAGAAATCGTTTGGATATTAACCAGAGAGCGCCAACCTTCGGCAGAGACAATTGAGACGGCCAAAAAGATCCTAGATGACAATGACATTTCCCAGGCATTCCTCATCGATACGATCCAGACCAAGTGCCCTCAAGTGGGTGGTAATGGAACCGACTCAGCTGGAGAAGATGACCTTGATTTGGATGAGTTTGTGACCACGGCAGTGCCAAATGCCATTGAAAAAGCATGAGAGTGGCTGCGACGCTTTTATGAGCGTCTCTACGACATTTTCATGAACTTTTTTAACTACTAATCCATGAAAAAAGATGACTATTTCAAAGTTATTATGGTTATTATACCAATGTTAATTAATCTGTTATTCCGAGAAATAAAATCGATGTCGATAATGATTTTAAGTGTAAAAACAACCTTCATAATGTTATTATGACAATAATACTTATTTTAAAGTATAATATCACTAAAATTTATCCCCGAACTAAGTTTATAAATTAAAATTCTTTATTTGAGTACAAGGCAAGAGAAATATGATTGTTGTTATATTAATAAGTTTCGCATTAATTTTATCCATAAAAAAGTTACAGAACTTCACTTCACAACATTTAAGAATAAAATAAAATGTTGCTTTTTTATTTTAGTGCAGTTAAACACTTTAGTAACCCCATATTCTTCACACTTCTAATTGATAATGGCACCGCATATTCTTGATTAGTTAAAATAAACAGTGTCAGTATAATGAAGTGGGTGTTTCTCGTGTAAGCAATTTTAAAGCAATCCTTGTAAGCTCACGTCAATCAATTGAAAAATATTTAATAGAGTTGCACTGTTCGCCCTTGAATTGACTTGGGCAATGAAGCTTTTCCGGGGACCTTGTCCACAAAATATGACGGCAATGAAAAATTTGGATATAAATAATTTCATGGGAAAGTGGTACATACACTCCAAATACCCACCAATTCCGGATAAGGTTTCCAGATGTCAATCGGTGGTATTTAGACAGGACAACGAGACAAACCCTTATATTGAGAAGCGAATGTTAAGCAGCCAGTAAGTATAAGAAAATGTATATATTTATTTCGAGATATAACCACAATTATATTATTCACAGAACCGATACAGTGGTGTTTCAAAAGGCTGAAATTCTCAAATGGGAGCCCGAGGCAGGAAGATATGTTCAGGATACCAAAAATAAAGGTAGAAAGAGCCACAATAAAACCATAGTTAAAATTATTTATATGTTGTTTTCTTAAGCATTTCCTAAAGGCATTCAGATTTACATACTGGATACGGATTACACCAACTACGCCATTCGCTTTATGTGTTTCGATACCAACAAAATATTTAGCTTTCGTGAGTGTTGAATTACTTGTCCTACACTTATATATTATAATTTTACTCTGCTTTCAGATTGGGCTGTCCTTCAGTTCCGCCGGCGGGTTCCTAATGCGGAAGTTGTATATAATGCACAGAAAATAGCCAGAGAAAATGGTGTTAAAATAAGTCTGTTTGTGAATGTACCGCAAAATGCCTGTCCCTCTGATACCTGAGAAACAATAGCTATAAGACTTTAATGTTAGGCCTTAAAAATTAATTTGTTATCTTGATGCTTTAACAACCAATAATAATTTAGTTACTGCTTTTAAATATTCGACTGCTTTAGCTTGAGCTAATATCAGGCTTCACAATAATATCAGATTTGTAAAATATACAACACCTGTAGGAATAGAAAATAAAATGGCAGGAAGCCATAGTAGCCTGCTTCTACCAAAAACTCCTCTATTTACTCGGCCTTGGTGTTTGTTCTCTGCCAGCAAAACAAATGTTGGCCAACAGAAACTGACATAAATCACAAAACCGCACTTGGAACGGATGCGCATAGATAAACCTTGCCCCAACTCAGCCCACCACCTCATTCCCTTGGCAGAAATAAAGAAAAGGGACAATTGTAAAATTAAACAGCGAAAAGGCAGCACGGAGAATCCTTCGAAACTGAAAACTCTGAGGGTCCATTGGGGAAATTTTATGGTACAACGATTTTTAGAAGCTGCACACACAAATACATAAGTATATACACATCTATGTCTATATTTTATTTGTGCGCCCTTCTATTTTTGTGTTTTCCAGTTTTCCCAGTTTTCCCAGACTGCGACAGCACCCGCGGCAGTTCGAGTTGGGTTTGCATCGCTTGTTGCAGGGGTCGAGAAATCGTAGGAATCCCCAACAGACGACTCTCACCTCTTTCCTCCCTTGGAGTTGGAGCCTCCGCCGATGACTACTCGCTATGCATACAAAATTTGTTTTGTAAACAAAGTAATGCTATTACAAACAAATTGGACTTTGTGCCCATGTTGGATCCCCGCCAAAGCCCCTCTTCTCTGCCACACATTGTTGCACTGCGATCCTTGGGGAAATCGCTCAAGAGAGCGCCGTGATGATTGAAGGAATATGTGACTGACACTTGAGTCCGCTCTGTCCATAGATGGATGGCCTTTATTGAGTGCCGAGAGGATAGATTTTGCGGTTTGCCCGCCAGCTATTGGGTTACTCTTTGGCAGATTATATGCCATACTATTTATTCAATTTGATGGTCTTCTTTGAAACAAACTCAAAGGGCAACTGATATCCCTTTTCGTCCGTTATTCTGTAACCACTTTAATGGGAACAATTTCATTACAGTTTCTTCAATATCTTTATCAAGACATGCTTTACGACCATTTGTCCTTCTTGCCACCTTGCGAATTCCTTCTTGTTCCGATCGAAATTGACTTTACTTTGTTCTAACTTAACAATGGCTGGACTCATGCATTCGCATTTTCATTTCTTATTGACTCAATGGAAAATGCCAAATCAGCTAAAGCCATTTGCTGTCAGTCTCGCACCAAGGTACAGGCGTTAAAAGTGACCCATTCTGTGCCATGTGCCACCCAATGGCCTCCTCCTTCTCTTCCAGTCAATAAAATGCCTTTTAATTAATCGGACGGGACGCTTGGCCGGACGGACACTTGTCCGGACGCTGTGCGTCAGCTGTGCGTTGTGGCAGCCAAATGAGAACAGGACTCGAGTACAGGACATTCGAATGCAGCGACGAATTGTGCGCATAAATTATGTAGCCAACCATTTGGGATCTCCCTAACGGTTTTACTGTTTAATTTTTTTGGTACCCTGTAATAGAAAGGCGAGCATACTGTGTAGTCCTGCTGTTAACTTTACAATTTTCTTACTAATATTTTAGGATATATATCAAATATGTAAAAAGAGATTTGTTTCTGATCTGGCATAAAAACGGAAGGAAGTAGGAGTAACTAAACAAGATCTGTTAGAAATTGACTTGTATACTTAATAATGTAAGCGATGCCTTTAATGGTTTATTATATCAATGAGTATTTCACCTGTCAAACACTCTACTTTCTTAATTTTTGCGGCATGTTGGGTAAGGGGAATCCCCACTTCGTTGACCAACAACAATATGTTGTAAACGTTTAATTTGAGCGCGTCTCTAATCGCTGTCGTGGCAACGTTGGGTCTCCACCTGCCTCAAATCTGGGTGCAGTAATTGCGTTCATTGAATTGTTAACCGGTCTGCTAGCCTGTTCCCTGAATTTCAGTCCGCAAAAACCGCAAACTTGCAACGTCGAGGACGCGGTGCGGCGGCCAAAGCCGTTGTTATCCTTGCGGTCGCGGTTGCTATCTATGTATGTGTGTTTTAGTGTGTGTGTGTGCATGTTTTCCCTTGAGCTGATTTCCACGGTTGCGGACAGCGGCGATTTGTGCGGGGTCCTTCGATATCCCGGTCAATGCACATCAAACTTTTGGCTCTCCCCTTTGGCCATCTGCATTTGGCATTTATTGGTATTGTTCCAATTAAAGTTGGACTTGGCCATAAAATATGCAAGCTCAGCGAACCAGTTAGCCATTCAGCCACCAAAGCAGCCATCGTCGAACCAACTTCTGGTTCGTTTTTTGGCGGCCACAGGACGACATAAATGCGTTACGGTCAATGGTTCTGGCTGCATAGAGATGGTGCCAATAAAAGGTAATAAAAGTGCACACTTCGTTGGATAGACTATGGGGTTGGATTAGTTGTACTTTTACTGAAGGGAGAAGTATCAATTATGCATTAGGAAAATATATTAGTCTTATAATAGTCAGATATCGCATTGCTATCGCTGGGGTTATCTCTTAATTAAAGTCTGTAAGCAGAAATCCTTTTCTTGTAAGCTCTGTACGTTTGGCTGTTAAACTCAAGTCGGGATCAAACAACGCGATGCACTCACCTTTGACATACCTTCCTCCAAACCCACCATCGAAACTTTTGTTCCGCATCGGCACATCCTGGAACCACCGCCCACTCCTTCCGAATCCTGTGGCACGTTTTGGCCAAAGTAAAACTTTAGGCGACGCGTTGGTGAAAACGTCTCTGGCGGCCTGGCCTGGCAACTGCTTAATCAATTACGCAACTTTGCAACAACTGGCGAAAGGCAGCGGGTCTTGGCTGAAAGCCGTGCGCCGCATGCATTAGACTGAGCAAATATATAAAACGGAAACGGAAATGACAGCTGAACACGAGCAATGCAGCTGTTAAAGTTCGGTTGCTTTACATAAAAAAACCATAACAAAATGTGACTGATTTATAAGTTTCACCAATTATAAGCGAAAACATTAGTACAATCTTAGAGTTGTATGATTATAGCACCAATATATTGTTAATCATGCTAGGCTTTTCTTTATTTTCCAAAACTATAATAACATTTAAATAATCAAAAGTACTCTCTTTTCGGACTAGTTAAATTTAAAGATCAAAATTAATTAGGTTAAATTATCAATATGCTGTGAAAAGACTGATCTTGAGCTGCAGTAAAAGAACGCCAGAGAAATGGCTCCGAAATGCTACTGTCCAGTCACTCATGTCATCTTCGACTGCGATGGAACCTTGATGGGTAAATGATCTCTGCAGGTTTAAGAATCAGTAATTGGTTAAAGCCTTTTCATTCATAATGTTTATATTTGATGCCAGATCCGTTCTACCTCCCCACATATTAATTCTAGAATATCCTTTTTGATTTTAGATACTGAGAAAATATACTTGCAATCCATGCAGGATACATTGGCTCCATTTGGCTATGGGTACACCAGGGAGAATCAGACGCGCCATATGGGCATGCCGGCAGTGGATGCGTCTGCTGCCATTGTAAAGGAATTGAATCTTCCAGTAAGACCCAGTGAATTCTGTGCTTTGTTCGAGGCAAACACCTCAAAACGTATGGCCCACTGTCCCCTGCTACCGGGGGTCCGGGAGTTTATCCTCCATCTGCATGAGTTCCGAATACCCTTTTGCATCGCCACTAGTTCCAGCAGGAAAATATTCGATATAAAGGCACAGTCACATAAGGATATCATGCTGGCCTTTCATCATGTTGTGTGCGGAAATGATCCTGGCCTGAAGCCGGGCAGAGGAAAGCCAATGCCAGACATTTTCCTCTTGGCTGCCTCGCGCTTTAATCCCCCAGCGGAACCCACGTCTTGTCTGGTCTTCGAGGATTCTCCGAATGGATTGCTGGGCGGTATAGCGGCTGGCATGCAAGTGGTGATGATACCCGAGGAGCATGTGTCCAAGGAGCAAAGAAAAGGCGCCACTTTGGTGCTCGACTCGATGGCCGAGTTCAGGCCGCAGTTATTCGGACTTCCAGCCTTTAGCAAATGCTCCAAATTCGAGTTTGGCTAACATAGGAACCCCAAATTTATATCTCAAAATTATGAAATATTTTTAATATATTAAATAAATTCCCGTAAATATTTCTGAAATGTCTCAAGAAGATCAGAGTATAAAACCGAACTTGAGGCGCTGCTTGTTTCAGCCGGTGACCCATTGTATTTTCGAGTTGGATGGTCTGTTGATAGACAGTGAACGATTGCGAAACGATTCCATCCAGAAGATCCTCGATCCCTTTGGGCACACCTATGGCTTCGATCTGAAGATGCGCTGCATGGGCAAGCCGGAGTCCGAACAGGTCGACCTCATTGTGAATACCTATGACCTGAATCGCTATGATTTTGAGCATCAGCTCAAGCTGTTGAGTCGCGGTGAGTATGCGCGCCTTAAATTACTGCCAGGTGTGGAGCGACTCCTGAAGCATCTACATGACTTCAATATCCCCATGGCCATTGGGAGCAGCAGTTGTCGGAATTCGTTCGAGGCCAAGACTCGTCGGTACTCCAGACTGTTCGATGTCTTCCATCATGTGGTTCTCAGCGGGTCCGACGAAGAGGTCAAAAAGGGAAAACCCGCTCCAGACATATTCCTTGCGACGGCCTCAAAGTTTAATGAGAGCCCGGAGCCGAGCAAGTGTCTCGTCTTCGAGTCCTCACTGTTGGGTATGGAGGCTGCTCTGGCCGCTGGAATGCAAGTGGTTCTCGTTCCCGATCCTCTAGTCTCCATGCGATCGAGTGCTCTGGCTACTTTGAGACTTAAATCCTTGGAGAGCTTCAGGCCCCAGTATTTTGGACTGCCGCCATTTTTAAGATCTTCTTAAAAACTCTTTTGTGACAAAAATATAAGAAGAAAATTAAAACTCAATACAATTTTGTGCCGCTTTACGTACATATTTTATGGGAGCGTCGTTATAACTCTCTCTCAAATGCGAAGCTGTAATTACGTTGACTTTAACATGCAAATCCAAGTAACCGATTGTTTTATGTCTCAGACCAGTTCAAACTAAAGGGCTTTCCATTTGTCTTAGTATCCGTGGGATAATCAGGAAAAGAGGTCCTTGGGTCATTTTATTTTAAAGGTAAATTTAAATTCCTTTTGCTGAAGTTTTAGATTTAATTTCAGGAAGTTGAAAGTTGGTTCGCATTGACATTGCTTTTAATGACAAAAACAACAACAATTTTGGCTATAATTAGGGTAATTCAGATATAAATTTTTAAAAATTTCTTAGACACGATCTGAGAATGTGCAACCCTCCCTGTAATATACCCAAAACTCCACCAGAGTGCGCCCGGTGTCCGCCGATGTGCTGTTGTCCGGGGATTAGCTACTGCATTTTTGATCTGGAAAGTGCCATCTTTGGTGAGGTTTTCCCTTAAAAACAAAGGATTTTGAATCTTTGTGCTGATCCATCCACGCTCCTCCAACAGATACCCGTCACATTTACAAGAAGGCTCTGCTGGAAGTGGCTTTGAGCTATGATCGGGTAATCCCAGAGCATTTGCTGATCCAAAGTGGACCAATGGAAACGGCCGAGATGGCCGAGTTGATTTGCCGAAAGCTAAAAATGCCCATCGGTTGGGAATTGTTTCTCTCTCAGATTAATGAGCGCGCCTCCGAATTGATCGCGAATCCACCTCTGATGCCGGGAGTGGAGCGACTGGTGACCCACCTGAGCAAGTGCTGCATAGGACTGGCACTGGTCACCTCCTGCTCCGAGTCGATGTACTGCTCCAAGATCCGCGGCCGGGAGGAGTTCTTCGAGATCTTCTGCACGGTTCTCTGTGCGGACGATGCGGAGCTGCGGGCCTTCAAGCCGGAACCGGATGTGTACTTGATTGCCATGGCTCGACTGGGAGAAGCAGAACCCTCGTGCACTCTCGTCTTCGATGGCACCGCCAAGGGAGTTCAGGCGGCGAGTGATGCCCGTCTTTCCGTTGTGATGCTGGCCGAACCAGAGGTGCCTTGCTGCTGGTCAGAGTTGGCCACTCTGCGCCTGGAGACACTGGAGGAATTCGATCCGGAGGAGTTTGATATGCCGCCGTACAGCAAGACCGAGTCAGCGGAGCCGCGTAAACCGAGTCGCCGAAGCTCACAGAAGTCCAAAGGTAGCCGAAGGAGTTCTGCACGGCAAAAGAAAGCGGATGAGAATCCGGCAGATGACGAGGGAGCGGAGGAGGACGAGGGGGAGGAGGGCGAGGAACCCGCCTAAATAACATTGTCCAGGTCAATGGATGACAGGAGAGGTCAAGGTGTTGTCACAAAAATTTTTAATAAAAGAAAACAAATTTTAAATTAAAAATACGACTTTTACAAAACATCAAAGCAGTACTATTTCTTGCTTTTACATTTATTTATGTATATTTAATGCAAGCCTTTCTATCGATTTTCATTCGTATTTAACAACTCAACAGATTTGCGGTTAAATATTTCAACTACTCAATGGCAAATCCTGGCAATCTGCCTAAAAGCTTTTGCAACTCGCTTCTGAACAAAACCATTGCAAAATGGAAAGAGAAGTATGTATAAACACAATATGAACTGCCATGAAGTCACAAACGTATTCATGGACTTCATTGTATTATTATTTATTTAATCAAATTTGTATTTCATTTTAATTTGATCTTATTTCTTGACACATTCGCTCGAACCAGAAATTGATCCCGAGAACTTTGGGCATTGATAAGCCGACTTAGCATTAGTATGTATTGTTCAGCACTGTTGTTTTATCTGCTGAATAATAAATACGGTTTAATTGAAAACGTTTTGATGATGACAAGGAAATTGAATCCTATCAGCCAGCAAATGAATTTGCCAGCACACACTGCTCTCGCACAGAAAAACCAAATGCAAATTCAGATGGAGATTAAAAAGCATTATAAATAATGCCGATTGTTCGCTCAACTCCGCCATTGTTCATTGTTCGTTGTTCATTGGCATTTGGCTAGCTCATCAAGTGCTTTCAATTAAAGATGATTAAGCGTTTTCCGTTCTCCTGATGCTGCAGGCAGGATGGAGGCACTGCTAGACAATAAATCCCAGTTACTTTCAACATTTCCTTGGCGTCATCTCTGCACTGTCTCTCTGCCAAAAGCCAATTGTTTGACAATTTAATTATTCAACACATTACGCATACTCAGTGTGCGCCGGTCTCAGGCCGTGCGAATGTGTGTCTACAAGGGCGTAGACATGCAATATGTTTGCCTAGCTGCAGATGCCGACTTGCAACTTTCAGCCAACTCCTGGGCAACTTATAATTACTTAATGTTCTACTCGGAAAATGTGTCTCCAACCCCGAAACTCGGTTTAACACCCTGAGAACCCTGTCGGATGGCGCAAAGTGAATAAACCTTTTAACTCTTTAGACATATTTTTTAGCTTCATTTTATTTTATTTTTTCCTCAACTTTTCCACTGGCTTTTCTTCCGCCTTTGCCTAATGAACGAACGCCACAGGAAGCACTCAAGGGCAAAAAGCTCTGCAGAAATGCAAAAGTAAAAGGAAAAAATACAAAAAAAAGAGAATTAATTAATTATGAAAAAGGGAAAGTGCAGCGAAACGGACTAGAAGTAATAATAGTTGACCACGTCAGGAACACAATGCCCAAAAATGAGATCTCTGCGCGATTAATTTTCTAATTTAATTAAGCCTTCTTATGGCCCAAAGGCATTTTATACAGAAAAAGTTATGCTGAATTTAAAACAAACTTCTCTTATGATATTTATCTTTTAGTCTCTAGGCTATAAAAGCTGGTGAAATATTATCGAAGCATTTCCATTAATGCAAAGTTTTGCTGGAAACAACCAAAGCAATTACAACAACACGGATTAACATGTGTCGACGAATGCTGAAAGGCTTTCCATAGTCCTCGGCAGCATTCCACTAAATTAATGTTAAAATGCAAGGACGACGGCGACACATGAAGGAGGGTGTGCGTGTGTGGACCGCCAGTTGGTGGTTTGTGTGGGCGTGGGTATGCATTCAGAGCGCGCTTTGTGCGAGCCTTGTTATAAAGCATTAATCAAGCATACCTGCTGGGCAAGCCCAGCCCCAGTCCCATCCCCTGTCTCATTCCCAGTCTCAGTTCCAGGCAAAGTCCCAATCCCTTCCCCCTGCCGCTATGGCCACTGCCTTTGCTTGTTTGCGGTGGCGACAACGGCGACCCATCTAGCCACATAACCGCCCAACCACCCAACCACCCTACCAACCACCGGAGCGCCCGTCCAGTGGCTCAACCACCCACCACTGGCACCATTCAAAAGGGCACTAAATTGCCGCTCATTATGATGGGCTGGCAAAACACATATGCGACAGTGGTGACATCGTGCTTTTCGAGAAAGTTCTTAACTATTATAATAATATTGCAAATGCAATTTTAAAAGGGATACAAAATGCATCTATAATTTATACACAATTCTTATAATTTTTACAAGACTATTTCTTTTCATTTACGAATTGACAGATTTACATACATTTAATACTAACAATAAAATGGAAAATACCTATTTATATTCTGTATGCAGAGATCCATTAACAATCCGAAAGAAGTAACTATTTTTAAAAGCTTCGTTTAAATAAGGACTTCAATTTACATTGAGTATATTACAAATATTTTGAAATTCGTTTGAGCAATTCTCTTTCGAGGTTCCTCAAGTTTAAAGGTGATTCAGAATATCATGTCCTTGCCAAATGACACTTTTCACCGATTTCACGGTGTCATCTCTACTTCTTATACCGATTTGTGTACGTGTGTATGTTCCTTTTGCAATTTTCCAGCTAAATGGCATACATTAATTAACGGTTTTGTGCGACAGACGACGACTCGGGTCCAGATCCAGCTTCAGGTTCAGATTCAGGTCCAGACCCAGCCTGGCATTCACTCTGACCCTCACGCTCTCCCGGCTCACGAAAAAGATTAATGGTGCGCTATTAATGTGTAATGACAAATGTTAGTGCCCCCTTTCTGCCACGCCTGCCTGCCCCGTCCCACCTGTGTGAGATCTCACTTCGGCGTTGAATGGATTTTCGTACCGCTCCCTGGCACGGTGTCCATCCATTTGCCGAAAATGATTGAAATAAATATTTAATTAAGGTACCAAAGTGCAACAGCAGCATCAGCATCAGCGGCAGACAAAACAAAGAAAACAGCGACTTTGCTCTAAATTTTCATAAAAATTCAATGCCACGTTCCGACAACGCTATGCAATAAAGTGCGGGCAGGAAAATGTGTCACCGTGTTACTAATAAAACCAAATGGGAATTGTTCAGGTAATGATATATATATACGAACAAAGGATACTCTTCCTTAAAATATGCTCTATGCTTTCATTTATTTTAATTGTGAAAGTCTTGTACTTTACTTTTAAGAATGGATTTTTAGAAGCTTATTTATAACAGCTGAAATGAAAATTAGAAATAAAATACAAAGAACTTACAATATAAGATCATGAAAATATATTAAAGTTACTATTAACATACATACCTTAGCACTTACGGAAATCATTTTCAAATGGAAATATATTTTATTTTACATGTAGTAATTAAATACATTTTTAAAATAATAAAAGGGATTATCATTGTATTGAGTTTATGCAGCAGCTCCTTTTTAAGGAATATATAACAAAATACTTCAAATTGCTGCCTTATAGCAATTTCTGTATACTCTCAAGTCGGAGGAAACCAGAAGTAGGAAAACATCAACGTCAGCGTCAAAGTGACAACAACAGACGCACACGAAAAACTCTGCCCAGATCCATCCGAGCCCTGGAGATGTGGCCCTGGAATCGGAGGTGGGACTCGTGAGGTGGACACTTTGACCAACTGCTGTTGTGGCAAACAAGTAAATAAATGACAAACTAAAGCCAAATTAAGTAAATAAAATTGTTGCCGCTGTCAGGGACATAAAGTGACGCCTGACACGGACACGAACATGGACGCAGGACACGGGCCTTGGAGCACACAGAACTCGGGATCCGGAGACTGACATTACACAGGCTCGGGTTCTCAGTCGCAGGCCTTCAGAGTCATGTGACAGGCCTGAGAATGTCAACAAGTTTAGTTGCAGGAAAAACAATCGCAAGCCAAAGATCAGGCAAAGGTTAAAGGTTCGGACCGAATTTAAGGCAAGAAAAAGCATGCGGATATTTAAAAAGTACGATAACCTCTGAGGCTTTTCAGAGCAGCCTAGACGAGTCCTGCTGCTCCTTCCCAGTCTCAGCCACATTGGGCAGACAAACGCCGACATGTGTCAAAAAGAAAAGCGCACAATTTATCAAAGGCAACAATAGCCAAAATAAAAGCAGAAACAGCACCGAGATCTGAAGAGGAAACAATGGGAGTAACAATAAAGGAAACTGAAGCAGTTTTCCGACTATGAGATACTTTTTATTTATATTTTAGATTTTCGCAACTATCCTTTTAATTGCGATTTAAATTTGAACCATTTTTTGTGTGATAAAAACTGGATATAACAAGATCATGATCTGGTAAGAAAACACAACTATAGCAGCATCAACTGAAGTCCGCTTTAAAGGGAAAAATGGAAACAAAGCTAGTTTCTGATAGACACACAAATCCAAGCCCAAGCCAGGACAAGGACTTGGAAGTGGTAAAGGACGAAAAGTGGTAAAAAGTGATAAAAGCGCAGCGTTGACGTTGACGATAGTGGCCAAAGAAAGCCGACAAAGGACACTGGAAATGCTCTGGTTGATGATTCGTAAGCCAAATGAAAAATCGGCTCCCAAGTGGGTGCATTCTTCATGTGTGTCCTTCCGACTCCTTGCAGCCACATTCGTCACACTCTACCAAAAAAAAACCCGGTTCTATCTGCTTCCGTAAGCGAGGAAATCCGAGGACCTCTTCTTCCGCTTTTCCAGTCTTGCGATTCTTTTTGTTTATGTGGGCAGATTATTCGGTACAATGGTTATGTGAAATTATACTGACCACGCCTACGCAATATTCATGCGTGGAAGGATTCGAAAAGATTTTGTTTGTACGATTCAACAATACCACAATGCCATTGAAAAGGTCAAATTAGATTGTGTATCCGGAAAATACCCTTGTCAAAATGAAGCCCATAAAAGAAAGCTATAAAATATTTACAATTTATATTTAGAAAGCTAAAAACATAGCTGTGAAATTATTATTGACGTTTACCTTTAAAACAATTAGTTTACCATTTTATCAATATAAATTTTATAAATATTATCTTACAAAGCACACTATTTATTTCACAGCGTAAAAACCCTTTTGCTGTTGAGAGAGCATAACATTATTTCTTTCATTTTAATTTTCGGGACAAATTCGTGACATTTATTTTTTGTTTAATGAGGATTTTTCTGACTTTTTTTTCAGCAAGCGGTTTTTATTGTTTGCCTGCTGTGTGTTGGGTTTTCCCTGTGCCACCAACGCCCTGCGCTTCCTGTCTTGTTTGTGTTTCATTAAGATTTTTTGTCATTGTCGAGAATTCGCCCCTCTCGACTCCGGACTGTGATAAAACTAATGTTGACTTTGGACTGACCCGTTTTGCTGGCTCATATATGCATATGGATACATGTGGCTCGTGTGCCCGAACAGCAACAAAAAATGGCAATAATTATAGCTGAGGTCACAAAAAGTTTACATATCCATGTGCGTATGTTTCTGCGGTCGGGTCGGTTGAGTTTCGTTGGGTTTGGTTTTTGTAGCTCTGCGTCCAAGTAAAATGCAATTACACTCGTATCTATTGCACTCGCAATTGTTCCACATCTGTAGCTGTGTGGTGTGTGTTCAAGTTATGTTGTGCAATTTCATATTGAGGTCACTGCTACTGACACTAATTTATAAAGTTTTGATTATTTTTTCAACCCGCTCGCAGAAAAGGTCAAGAGTTTTGCTCATTTGTAGTCACTTGATGTTGTTTGTTTAGAGAGAACAGGGAGCTGTTCTAGATTAAATTGGAATTATGTACGAACAAAACAAAGCCATGACCGCATAAAGTTGATATTAACTTTGGTAATATAATCAAAGGGATTCATAGTTGCGAAATGATTAAATATTTTTTAAATATAAATTATTTAATTGTTATAATTATTTTATTTAATAATAAATAATATATTGAAATCATTATATTTATTTTAGAAAATATTTGTTTGAGTAATTTTATAGGTTATTTCAGAGTTTTAAATTTATAGACAAACCCAACAAATCCAATATTTAATACAACTATATGTGTCAGAAGTGGATAACAAAGCCTTATTTCGGTGTGGAATCAATTGAAATAGATACCAAATTCAAAAAATCCCTTGAAAAGGGCACAAAATTTAACAAATCTTTTCTAAAGGGCATTACATGAAACACTGTTGTTGAAACCCATAAAACTCTTTATCATAGGTTTCAACTAAATATTGAGAACTTAATTATGTGTATATTTGTCTTAGTTTTACGTATAAAAAGAAAAGCATCATTTTATGACCAGATCCTTATGGTCTTGGGCACAATTTAAAAGGGTTCTAAAACACTAATGGTTTTGTGTAGCACCCTTTAATAGCTTTTGAAAATGTTTTTTTGAAACAAACTCCACAATTGGCGAGAACTTGAACTTCTCGCTGGCGCCATCTACTTTCTCGCTGGTTGAAAATCTCCCATTTTCCTCTCATTTCCCTTAATGCGCAGACTCAACTCATCTCGGAGTCCCGAAGCCATTACTCATCCAGCTCTGAGCGGAGTTCCTACTTCACTTCTAATGTGAAACGAGTGGGAGAAGGATGTGTAGGCGGCTCAAAGGTGGGCAGCATAAGAAGGAAAAGCCAAACAATTGCGAGCTTTGCCAAGGGCCTTATTTTTAATGTCGAGAATCATAAAAATATGATATATATATAAATACACATAAAAGTAAAAATATTAATAAAGGTTTTGTCTGAGAGAGCGTAAAACTGATTGCGTGGCACTTAAATTTTTTATGGTCCTGGGCCGTTTTGGCCTTCAAGTGCGGCATTATCCTGCAGCCTGTTGTTTGTATCCCTGGCTGTATTAAGCGGCCAATGAAATATGCATGAGAATCTGTCTGATTGACCGATACGCCACGATATGCGGATGCAGAAGTTCGGAAAACAGTATGTGCGTCAGCTGGCGGGAAATCGGGGGACAAGGCCAAGAGTCATTGAACTGTGAAAGCGGCTCAAACCAACTACATATAACACCCCAATGGCCAATGCCCACTCTTCCCATTGCCCATTTTCATATGTCTGAGAGCCAAGTGTTAAAGTATTTCGCAAAATTATATTTTCACCCGTTGCGAACTTTATTAATATTATTTTTATGATTATTATTGCGACCCTGGACGTGTGCTGGCATAATTATCCCAACGCCGTCCGGCCCGAAATTGGCCAATCTCTGTGATAATAAAAACGCATAAATGCCAGGACAACTCCTTTGCCACTGCCGCCGCCAGCACATGGAAGCTCAACGGACAGCGACAATATTTTAATTAACTTAATTAAGCAATTTTTATTTGCCCACAGCCAGGTGAGGCTGCATCGGTGGCCCGATCTCCCGCACTTTGCTCCTGGAAATGCGTGCCCCCATTGTTTGCCTTGTGATGAACTCGAAAGGACTCGTTATGAATGCAGGAATTAACCCAAAAAGCATTATCTGTTGTGTTTGGCTTCGGCTGAGTCAGCACAGAAAATGGACACCGAACGTTGTGATAAAAGTTCGTGAACTTTACGTGAATATTTAAGATATTCTCTTTAATTAAGTAATCATTAATTCATGCATTGAAACAAAGTTTATTTTCGGTATTCCAAAAGATGCACAAATAGAAGTAACAAAGTTGTTTACTTACAGATGTGGTTTAAGGCCTTAAAATAAAAGAAATAGTTTAAGAAATATGAGCATTTAATTTAATTTTTAAAGAATTTGATGGGCTTTTAGAATTTTGTAGAGATTAGCATGGGCCAGGATTACACTTTAAATAATGGATTGGAAATAACGGCAGCTACAGGTATCGAAAATAGAACTGAATTGCGATTATTAATGCGTCCCAAGAAGTTGATATTTCATTTCGTGGTTAGTCTGGGATTGAGAACTGCATTGTTGTTTTGACATCGCTTAGCCGCTTTTGAAGAGCAAAACGGCCACTTGGCCCAGGTAAAAGTATACGAAGTTGCGAGTCTCATGGGTTACATACGAACCAAAGTGGTGGCCCACAATGCAGTGCCAGGTGGGGTTGTACTTCCTGTCGAACTCCTTCTTAATGTACGCGGCAACATCCTTCTCGATGTTATGCTTCTCCATTGCCTTGGTGGCAGAGTTGACAGCATCTTGCTGCATCTCCTCGCACATGTCCGCGTTCTTAATCACTGCTTTGTTGTCCGACATCCTGAATCTGGATTTAAGACTTGGATAAACTCTACTTATTGTTCAACTCGCGTTGTTATATTTACCTTTTCCCTGAGACGTCTAACTTCGATATTCTTTCACCTCACCTCAGCTCTGCTCTGTTCTGCTCTGCCCCAACACCATTAAATTTGTTTGTAGAAACCAAAATAAGTTATTTCTACTTTGAAGGATAAATCAAAAATGGGTTTTTGTCATATCACTTAGTTCGGGAAAAATGTAAATAGAAATTTCTACTTATGTAGGTTCTCTTTGTTATAAAGACCAAAATAATTGCGTCTTTGAAGACTATTACAAAACGTATACAACTTAAGAATATAATACAAATTTACTTGATTTTTATTAAATGTCTAGTCACGTGATCAGGATGACATTAGAGTATGGAAAAACCCTTATTGCTCTGGACCTGGAACACCTCCAAGTCACAATCGCATGACACGAATGGGAGGCCGGAATTTGCACTTAATATGAAATCGGTTAATTTCCTGGCTGCTCCTTTATCCGTATGCATACTGCGAAAGGTTGTTAAATTCGATTAGACATGCAATCAGTGCACGAGACTTCAACGGCTAAGGGGGAAATTTTAGATTGAATTTTAATAACAGCATTGCGCGGACACTAATCAAGTAATGCAACCAATTTGGAGGGGTTTTGATGTTCATGTGGACATGTGAGTGTGCCGCTGCCTTAACAACGACAACATCGTGAACAAATTTCACTTGTTTTTCCTAATGAATACGCTAATTTAGTGGACACACGCCATGTTTATGGTCTCCGGGCCTTTGCCTGGGCTTGGTAATCTAATTTATGGCATGTCTGCTGGAGTTTTAAAACGTGTTTGCTCCTACTTCCGCAAATTTCTCATAATACTCACTTAGCTAAATCATTTCCTATGCATCCTGAATACTGAATAATTGGAGAATCTGCAAATTTTAAATGATTGAATGACTAAGGACATCAAGCAATCGGTTTATGTTACCTGTATGTTTTATAAAGTCTAAGAAACAGACATTATCAGCACAATAGATATTTTAAAGAATATATAATTGTAATTCATATTGTTTAATCTATTTTTTTATAAATTAAAACATAGAGAAACGTCAATATAATTTCATTTTTATTCCATTAATTTATTTACTGAATATTCCTTCTATAAGCTCTCAAAGTATCTTGAGGCACTTGAAGTATCTCTTGAATTCCTCAGACTATCTCCTACCTTTATGTACCTACCCAAGGAAAAGGTAATCCCAATTCAAGCACTTTGCCTGCAGTGCATTTTCTGACAGGACTCAATTGTGGAAATGAAAAATAACTTCATAACCGCATGTTAAATCTTTTCTGGCCCAGAACGCCCCGTTTCCTTTTCGGGCTTTGTGCCACATCCGCAGTGTAAAAGCTCAAGGAAAGGCAACACAATCGCACAATATTTCCGGGCAGAGGTAATAAATAAATTGCATACGTAATTAAAATCGACGACTCTGCCCAGGACTCCGACTTGGGCAGCTCCTCCTCCTCATGATGCCGACGCAGCAATTACACCAACATCGGCAACAGCGGGAACAATGCCAGGAACAAAAGTTTTCCGACTTGACTTGTGTGCTGTGTGTGCTTCCCCTTTAACGTCAACTGTATTTCTTTTTCCACTTTTCCCGCTCCTCGGCGGCTTTTGTTGCTGCTGTTGCCTGTTGGCAGCTCTTTTGTTTTAAGTCAAGTTGCATGCGAACAACATGGAAATGGTTAATGGCGGTAATGGCGAAATGGGCTGGAAGGTAAGCAACGCCGTGTTGTTTTCCCTCCATGATTCCGAGAATATTCCCCATACTAGACCATGAGGAGATCTTAAAATAAAGGTACGGATTTTTTGTCGATTTAAACAAAGAATGAAATACCTTGAAAAGCATTGAATTACTTTATGCCTTAGTAATTTCAAGAGACATATAAGAAGTTCATAATTATGAACAGTATTAAAAGACTTTAGTTTAGAGAAATCCCCAGTAAGCTCCTAGGTCCTACTGACTTTAAAGTTTTCTTTGGATTCTTTTTTAACATTTACCTTCTTGTTTTTAAATATTTTAAAGGGTATTTGAAATATCGAGACGAGAACCTTAATTTTTTGTTGCTTTTAATTTCACTTCATGAGCAATCAACGTCAGTGTCGACGTTACGCCTTACTTGTTCAACAATTTGCATGACAAAAGCCCAGACTCGGGGATAGACCACGTCAAATGTCGAATATCTTTCACGATTCTGTATTGTTGTTCCTTTATTTGAGAAAAGTCGCGAAAAGAATTCCAGGCGAGGAATTCGAAAACAAATGTACAGTGCAAACATGCCGTGAGAGAGAATTTCAGAATTCGTGGACCCGCTTAAAGACCTTAAAGGCGAGAGTTATGAAAGCGTAAATGCTCTGGTTGTCGTCGTCAGGCGAGCCATTAAAAAATCAAAACAAGTTAACGGCAACGGTAACCCAACTAGCCGAGGCGATGGCGATGGCGAAAGGCGAACCGGAAACCGGAAGTGAGAACAGGGCTCAGTGCCGCAAGTTTGCGGTGGCGGCATGCGGCATGTGCAGGAAGTATACCCCTCACTCGCATACACACAGAAAACACAGCAAGGAACCAAGTCCTGGCGATGGTATACATCCTATACATGTTGTTGTGGTTCTGCACTTAAAGAACACTAGCCGTGGTATTTATATTTAAAAAAGGGTTACTTATTAATAATTTTAGAAATTTGGCATCATTATTGCTTCCGAAAACATCCTCAGAGATGCTGAGAAATTTAAATTAAAATCTCCCAAATATCGTGTCAAAAAGAGGCAAGGGTTTTCGAAAGATAGTCAATCACCTTTATTGGTATTAGTAAATTACCTTAAGCACTATGGTATTTTATATAAAAAGATACAAATATTTTCTAGACTTCCTTTTAAATTTTCATATAAAAAGAAATATGTATTTGTAAAACGTAGCTATTCTTTATTGATAACAAACATTATTGAATATTTTCAGAGTGTGGACTTAAATCCAGGTTCTGGCGACTTCAGACTCGCGATAAAAAAGGAAAGATTATGGGAAAGGACTCAGGGTCTGGGGTCTGATGTGTGTTTGTCTGTGCCAGAGACCGTGTGTGAGTTGTGCTGACATCGGTGACCCTTGTTCGCGATGGAGGACAACAAACGACGGTCACTTGCTCTGCCCACACCCTATGTTTCCGCCTTTGGGCAACAAGTCATTGACAACAGCAACAGGAAGAATAAACTCCTGTCTACCATCTCGATGCTTTAAAAATGGGTTCCTACTTGCCCTTGGCCAACTTGAATTTGGCCCAAGCAAACGACTCGCCAACTCTGCGAATATCTGCACTCTACACTCTTGGCTTGGGCAGATGTCAGCGTTTTGGCATTATAATGCCATTAACTTTGCTATAATTCAGTGCTGCTGCGTAGTTTCCCTGCGACAATTTATGCATAATGAGCACGGTCTTGTCCTGTTCCTGTTCCGTACTCCGTGCACATGCAACTGGCAACTGGGAACCCAATGAGCAAAGTTGGGAGATCAGAATCGATATCTTATAGATAGAATTTAATATTGATGGATAAGTTAGTTTCATGTTATCCCAAAATAAAAAACCCAATTTCCTGTAAGCAAATATTTCTTCTCTAAGCTTAATTTACCCATTTAAACTCATAAATTGTTCGCTGGGTTACACAGGAGCTCTCCTCCGAAAATGAGCTTCTTGTTGGCAATGTCGCCCGCTGGGTAACTGACTGAAGTCCGTAGTCAGCAGTAGTTGGCAGAGTCATAGCCATATACATAGCTGGCAACAAGCTGACTTGAACTAAGCTAGCTTGGGCATATTAGCAGGGCATATGGAAGCTGTACCTGAGAGCGGGTGGGGTTCGTTCTGCGAGGCCCAAAGGCAGGTGAAATTTCTTGGAAACTGCAAACTGAGAACAGAGTTTCGGTTAGCATATGACTTGCATTCCGATTGTGGGTGTGTGGGCACTGAGCTTAAATTTCCTGCTCCCGACTCGGGAACGTCAGCGAATATTTTTTAGTTATTTGCGTTTCATGGTTTTTGGGGATTTTACTCTTGACTCGAAAAATATATATGTATATGGCACCGCACACACAGGAAATGGGAGGAATGACAGGAAAGCGGGCGGGGGGAACGTTTTCACATCCTGCATATTTGCATTGGGCAAATTAATTTTGCCTGCCATATTTACACTTCCCTTCCGCCTCCATTTTGAATTCGAGTGTAATTGTGTGCGTGCGCACCCATACAAACATATTTGGTTAATTAAAAATGGCTGCAGAATTATTTGACTTTTATTGCAGAACGCCTGTTGCTTGAAGTTTCGTGTTGATTAAATTAAAGTCATCTATCCTCGTGCCACAGATTAGTTTATCCTTGCTAGTTGTAGTAATTCATAAGTTTTAATTATGATTTCATGATACCTGAGGCCAACGAAAATATATTTATTCATCGGGAAATGTGTCTAAAGCTGGCCAAAGGATGGTTGAATAAATTCGTATGCAAACAAGTACAATGTCAATAATGTGTAAAATATTTGTATACGCAACCCGCGCAATATTTTATTTCTCAATTCTCAAAAACTATATTTATTTTGGTTTACATATAAAATATTTGCGTTCCATTAGGAATATTTATTGTTTTCATTACTTCGCCTCGGCAGAGTTAACAAGTTCAAGTTCTAAAAAATGTACCTCCCCTCAAATATAGTAAAAAATACCATCACAGGCCAGTGTTTGCACGCCCTTTGCATAGTTTTCCCAACTGTTTTTCCCACTGTTTTCGAGTGCATTGGGAAAACTTTCACATTTGTCTTTGTCGCACAGGCACAGATCAAAGTTTTCGGCTTAAATTTCTGCATGCACTTCAAACACGCAATTGGCATGTGACGACAAAACATACGAATCGAATTTTTCTTATCTGTCTGCCCAACTTTATTTTTTCGCTTTGTTGATATTTCAATTTGAAAAGTTTGACTTAGTTTCCTTAGCGTTGGCAGCTTTTCGATTAAAGTTTTGCATGCGGCAGATTAAAAACTTTCCCATGCAAAGTTGAAGCAACTTCTGTTCCTCTCTCGGTTATTTTTTCATACATATATTTTATGTGGCATTTTTAACATTTCTTGGCAACATTTGCAGGCATCACA